TGTGCTTGCTGCCCCTTGTCCTATTGCTGGGCACCACTGAAAAGAGCCTGGCCCCACCCACTTGACATCTGCCCATTAGATATTTATAAGCAGTGATAAGATGCCCTCTCAGCCTTCTCTGTGTCACGCTAAACTGTCCTAGGTCACTCAGCCTTTCCTCACATAGGAGATACTACGGGGCCTCAATCATCCTTCTGGCCCTCTGCTGGATTCTCTGCAGAAGTTCTTTGTCCTCTTTATTGAACTGGGGAGCCCAGAACTGGATGCAGTACTCCAGATGTGGCCTCATCAGGGCAGGGTAAAGGGGGAGGATCACCTCCTTTAACCTCTTGGCCACGTTCTATTTAATACACCCCAAGATACCACTGGTCTTCTTGGCCACAAGGGCACACTGCTGGCTCACGATCGACTCGTTGTCCACCAGGACACCCAGGTCCTTTTCCAGAGTTCTTTTGCAGCAGGTCAGCCCCTAACTTGTACTGATGTGTGTGGTTATTCCTCCCCAGGTGTAGAATTTGAAGAAACGTTTATGCACCAATCACACTATAGGGTGAAGTAACTGTAGAGTTTGTTCACAGCTCGAGATAAAATTTATATGGATTAACAATGAACGTCCTCAGATTTTATAAAGTTGGAGAAGAAAAACAGGCTTCTGCGTGTGCATGAGGAATATGAACACACGCATTTCAAATGCATGCTGTTGAGTGCTGACATGGATATAGCTCCAAAATGGTCTTATTTTCCTGTTTTGAAATTCTATTTCTTTTGTTGGCTCTTCTGAGGATAGTTATTCTGAGATCTTCAGGACTGCTTCCACGATAACAGCTAAAGCAAACTCTTGAACTTGTTTATTACATTTTGCTATTTAAAGAGGATGTCACTGGTTCTGCTGCATGGAGGCATATGTAAAGCCATGAGGAACAGAACCCTTGTCATATCACTCTGACTGTGGCATACCTACTGCAAAGCCAAATTTAAATCCTATGTGACAAAGCAGTACATGCATAAACAGCATATCCATTGTTTCTGTCACATCAGTCTTTAAGACTATATGACTTTACCATGGATAAACTGTTCAATTCTATCCCAGTCACCAACGTCCTTGGGGAGATACTAAGGATGTATTAGCATTCTATGAAGAAAAATAAATTATATGTTGTTTTCTGTTCATGATAGATGTATTTCCAGAATAAGTAAAAAAGTTGGGCTATGATACAGAGTGAGTAGGAAGAAATGCAAGTGAAATTTACAAAATACCTACGTAAATTAGAATTAATGTGCTGAGCAGATTCAGTTAACAAGAGTGGGATGATTTGAAAAACTGATTATGATTTGAATATTAATTCCTAAGGACAGAAAAGTAATCTAGAATAATTTAGAGTCTATATTTTTGTATACATCATAATAACTTAACTAACAGCTAAATCATTACAGGACCAGAATTCCATACATCACCTGCACTCAGGTGTCTGTCGAGGTGTAACATCTGAGCAAGTAAAAGAGATTTTCTCCTTTTAAGTAATTTATTTATTTTAACTAAAACCTACTCCATTTGAAATATGCTTTTCTGTGTGGTTCTGTTGTGTCAAGGTCCACAGGCATTTCATGTTTTTAAACCAAAGAACTGTCTTTCTTCAAAGACGATAGTAGTCAATGGAAAAGTCTTCATTAATTTATCCAGAAAATATCTGCTTTGAAGTAATTCAGTTAACTGTGGCGTACTGAAAGCGTTCCCCAACCAATTTGAAGAATAGTTTGTCAATCCCAATGGTAGAGATAGGAAACGGTAAGAAAAGCTGACAAATCTTTGCTCATAATACAGGAAGTCTTTCAATATTAAAGGATGAGATGGCTGCATTTGAGTCATCTTAATGGTATCATTAAGATGCCTTTCTGTTAGAGCCATTACAAATTAAAGAAGTTGACAGCTTGAAAAATCTTAGTGAGGGAAGAAGTGCAGTTGAGACGGAACAGAACTGAAAGGCTTCAGAACTTGGTCATCTTAGTTTAAAGGGACTTAAAAGCTCTCTGTCTTGTGAGGGTTGTAAAATAGTTTTCACGTGTTATATTCTCCCAAGATGCATGTACAAATGGCTTGAGAATGAATACAAAGAACTGTTCATACAGGATGTAACAAACAGCAATATGGTTGCAGAAGAGGCAAGAGTAGAAGGGTGTTTGTGCAGGAAATGCAATGCCTGGAGCAGGACAGCAGTCCACTCAGTGAGGAAAGTGAGGACTGGCAACCTTGCACATAGCAGGGGATTGAAACTACATGATCATTGTGGTCCTTTTCAATCCATCCATTCTATGATTCTATGACTGTGCAGGACTGACCCTTTCAACTATCAGCACCTAGTTGTACATGTTCATAAGAAATCTCAGGTCCTAAAAAATCAGCAACAAAGCTTCTGTGAATATCCAAGACATCCCCGTCTTGCTCATCTAATTGCTTCACTAGGTAGGTGTCCACTTGAGTAACTGTGCAGTTCTCTTGTGATTGTCTCTAAATGCCTTCACCCAATCGTTTTCCTTTTCAATGGATAGAAATCTGTATATTCATTCTCTCCAGAGCCAAAGTGCTGTTGTTGTTTAGTTGTCTTAAAGCAAGAAAAGGTCTGAGGGATGCACTTAGCTGATCAGCTGCTTCTGGAGATTTCCTAGTAGCTCTTAGCATAGGGCTGTCTTAAAGAAGCTGCCAAGATGCAGCTGGATTAGTTCAGGTGACAATAATCTACATGTCTTCTTAATGTACCTCTTGTATTATGTCATACTTGCTTTAGCATTCCTTCCAAACAAAAGAATCAAGCAGATACATTTCAACTGCAGTGTCTTCATAGAATCATAGAATGGCCTGTGTTGAAAAGGACCACAATGAATATCTAGTTTCAAACCCCTGCTATGCAGGGTCACCAACCAGCAGACCAGGCTGCCCAGAGCCACATCCAGCCTGGTCTTGAATGCCTCCAGGGATGGGGACATCCATAACCTCCTTGGGCAACCTGTTCCAGTGCCTCACCACCCTCTGGGTGAAAATCTTCCTCCTGATATCTAACCTAAGCCTCCCCTGGCTCAGTTTAAAACCATTCCCCCTTGTCCTATCACTATCCATCTTCGTAAACAGCATCTTATCTTCTGTGTTTGTGTATAGACAGAAAAAAAATGTATTTCACATTTTGTTTCCATTTTCTTCCTGTTCAATTATTCTGTATAAATGTTAATACATTTCTACATAAATGACTAAGGAAATTATACCCGTGTCATTACCAGGAAATGACGCCAATGGTTTAATAGTTTAGAAGAAGGGGTTAAAAGCATTTGCACACATATGGTGTTATAAACCATTTTCTAAAATTTGGCAAATGGCATTAAGCTCACCCTTTGGTACCGTGCTGTTAACCCTTCAGTGACCACTCCAAGTATTTACAGAATGGTCTGTCCAGAAGGTGAGACGGAAGCAAGCACTGCTGGTCGCAATGAACATAACCCTCCGAAGTAGATGAAGGAGTTGGGGCAGCCTGAGCATCCGCACTTGTCTGGGAGCATCCTGGTAGCCGCGTGCCCGTGCCATCCCTCGCCCCGGCTGCCGAAGAGTGCTATCCCTTTGTTGCAGGTGGCTGCTGCTGGTCTGTGCTTTCCTGGAGGGAATCCCTTTCACAAACAAACGCTGCTCACTGTTAGCCATCAGAGAGCATCAGCGTCAGAAAGCATCTCGTCCTGAGCCCCGGTCGTTGGCGAGGAATCCTCTCTGAAGGCGTCTCCACCTCCCTCCCTCCACGCGTCTTTTTGCCGTGCGGCACAGCGCGATGGGTTACTGCCGCACCGCCGACGGATGAGTTCAGGCGCTGTGCAGTTAGCCTCTTTTTCTTTCCTCTTTTTCTCTTCCTTCCCTTTCTCTTCTTCCCTTTCCCAGGCTCTGCTAGCCGTAGCATCCACCCTCCCGAGGGCTTTGCCCGGATCATTTATTTATCTTGTGCGCATTAAGAAACCACCATTAGGCTCTGGTGGGAGGCGCCTTACTCGCTGAGCGCTCGCCTGCCTCCCCTGCGCCGCGAGAGGAATGCACAATTGAGCAGGAGCTGCAAGCTTGGCAGGGGTTGCCGTGTGCGTGCCTATCTGTTGGCCGGATCCGTGCTTTTGCCGACTGGGTCACTGGCGTCCGCCGCTTCAAGGGCTCATTTTTTTTTTAAATTTATTTGGCTGTGTGGTTCTTTTTTTTTTTTTTTTTAATTATTATTATTTTTTCTTTTTTCGCCGTGCATCCTCACCGGAGTTTTACTGCGGGCCGGACTTGAGTGCGGACGCGGAGAAGCCGCGAGGAGCCTTGCCGAGCTGAGCCTCCTGCCCCGGGCCCCGCCCGCGGATCGGCCTCCCTGGCCCAGCGCCGGCCGCGGGTTGGCCGCGGGGCCGCGGAGTGGCGGGCGTCGCGCCGCCGCCTCCCCGCCGAGCAGCCGGGGGCTGCCGCTGCGCCGCGGCCGGGCAGAGGCGGGAGCCGAGCGGGCGGGGGAGGGAGCGAGAAAGCGAGAGAAGATCCCCTGGCCCCGAGGGGCGAGGAGAAGGAGGAGAGGCGAGAAGGAGCGTGGATGTGAAGGAATGTGCCCTCCCGCAGCCGGATCCGCGCGCTTGGGATAAAAAATCGTAATAATCGAGGAGGCTGATCGCCGCGACTTATTGCACGGAGGGAAAAAAAAGAAAAGGATAAAGGAGAGCAAAGCCTAGGAGTGACGGGAGAAGAAGGAGAGCGCCTTGGCTGACGCGGGCGGCGCAAGAGGAGGGCGCCCGGCGCGGCCGTCCCGCTGACTCCGCGGCCGCGGGAGGTGCGCGGGGCGGCGCGGGGGTCGCCTCGCCTCGCCTCGCTATGCCGGCGGCGTGACCGAGCGCCGCGCGCCTCTCCGCCCCGCGCCGCTCCGCTCCCCTCCGCCCACCTCCGCCGCATGCCGCCGGCATCCGCGGCGCGCTGATGCCCCGGGGCCGCGGCGGCGCTGCGGACGGCCCCTAGGATGAGCGAGGGGGCTGCCGGCGCCGCGGCGCCCGGGGCGGCGGAGGCGGCGGCGGGGGGCCCGGGCGGGGATGGGGCCGGGGGGCCGCCGCGAGAGCTGCGCTGCAGCGACTGCATCGTCTGGAACCGGCAGCAGACGTGGCTGTGCGTGGTGCCCCTCTTCATAGGCTTCATCGGCCTGGGGCTCAGCCTCATGCTGCTCAAGTGGATCGTTGTGGGGTCCGTGAAGGAGTACGTCCCCACCGAGCTGATGGACGCCAAGGGCGTGGGGCAGGACCCCTTCTTCCTCTCTAAGCCCACCGCCCCCCCCCGCGGCGCGGAGACCACCGCCGCCGCCACGCCGCGGCCGCCCAGCCGCGTCAGCCCCCGCCTCACCACGATGAGCCGGGCCCCCCCGAGACCCCCCGGCACCCGCGGCCCGGCGCGGGGCGGCCCCAGACCCACGGTTCCCCGGCAGCCCGCCGCGCCCCACACGGCGCCGCCCGCCAGCGGCCCCCCCGGCACTGCCGGCCGCGCCGGTCGACCGCCGCCCGCTGCCCCCAGCACCCCGCCGCTGCCCGCCTGGCCCACTGCGGCACACGCTACCTCCTCCTACAAGATCTACGTCCACGACTCGGCGCCCTCCTGGACCTTGTCTCCCTTCCAGGAATCTACCACTACTACGCCGGAGACCACCACGACCCCCAAAATCCGTAAGTGAAGCGCGCCGGTCCGCTCGGGCACACCCCTCCCGCCGGTCGGGTCATCGGCATCGGGCGCCGTCCGTCCCGGGGCTATCGCAGCTCGGGGGACGCGCGGTGCCCTGCGGGAGGCCGGGGAGCGCCAAGTTCTCCTTCCCCTGGCTGTCTCTCGGCCTGTTCCCCGCTGGTGTGGCGGGCGTCGAGGCAGGAACAGCCGTGGGAGGCGGCTGGAATTCGCTGCGGTTCATAGGAAAAGCTTTCCCTTCTAGTCTGGTGTGAGGGCGGCATTTAGGAGGTGTGGGAAGCAAGGGGACAAGTGATGGCCCGCCAGGAGGGGCAGCGACACTGCTGACAGTGAGCAATGGGAGCTCGGGGCGGGCTGCGTTTCTCTGCCGGTGCGGAGTTTCTCTGGCCGTCCAGCAGCCGGCTCACACCGAAGGAGCCCTCAGCCCCGCAGGGGTGCTGTCTCCGGCGCCGAATTGGGCTGCTGGGAGGAACCCCGCCGGCGAGTGGCACCGATGCGCTCCCGAATGCTCACAGCAGCCCAGGGCTCCCTGGCTCCAGCCAGTACTGTGCCGTCTGCAGCCTCAGCCCGTGACTGGCTATTTTTTTTTTAAGCGGAGGAGGTGGCTCGTTCCCTAGTTGCTCTTTGTGCCTGGCTCTTCCTGCACTGCGAGGCACAAACCGAAGGATTTGGGTTCGGTCCGAAATTTCGTTTGAGTTGGGTGCATCAACTTTCAGCTTCTCGTAAAGGTTATTTAGGACAAATGCAGTCCGTGCCAGAGGAACTTCTGTGTGGTGCTATTTAGTGAAATGCTCAATTGTACTGTACTAGAGTCTTCTGTGCTTTTTCAGATGCAACGTAGGAAATGAGGAGCCTGTGTTCTCCATTAACTCTTAGTTGCTTTTTCTAGCAGTGTCAGTTTGATCGCATGCACCACCTGGATTGCTTGTACAGCCAGCAGCTCCCCGTCTGCATACTAATGCATGCTTATTCCAGTAGAGGATTTGGGTAGCTGGTCATTTAAACTTAATTTTGTCCATTACATCTGTTTTGCTGATGAACCCTGGGACAGAGAGTGTATGTACAGCAAACTGATTTTGTGAATTGGCAGAATAGGGAGAAGAGTGGCAAACTGGATGTGTACGTGTGGGTGAGCGTGCAGGTGGTGGATGGCTGGGAATGATTACGAATAAAACTGCCACTAAATCAGAGCAGCAAACCAGGCAGTAACTTGCTTCCCCAGCATCTGCTACTGCAATTGAGAAAGAGCCATCTCTCACAGGTGTGGCTGAGCCTGGTTGCTCTCTAGCTGCAATCAGAGGAGCTTCAGTGGTACCAGAGGGAAAATCTCTTGTGGATCTGAGCCTTAGCTGTCTCACTGAGGTATATGGAGCTGTATAGAACACTTGGGAAAAAAAAGCAAACAAGGAAACAAAACGTGTGAAGGGAGTATGATTTGCAACCTGCGTCTCTGGTCTCAAATCCTGTGTGCAGCAGTACCTTACTGGCATTTCAAACTGCAGTGACGTGTGTGCCTGAAATGCTGCTGGGCTTCCAGCCTGGGTGGGACCTGTCAGGATTTAAAAGCTGCCTTGAGAGCTTTGCCCTTCTCCTTTTTGTGTCTCTTTGGGTCTGGAAGAGAAGTCTGCTGCAATTTTCTCCCATCTCCGTTGCCTCCTTACAAAAGGTATAGAAGGCAGTAAGATCCTTATTAATAAATTATTGTCACTGGCAGGACTCTTTTGCGTTCAGGGTGCACAAAGGAAGAAGAGAGCCTTCAAATGTTCCTGGCAGTTTTACAGTCCTGTAACTGTTCCTTGTTTCCGGGAGCCTGCTAATACCTTTTACAGCAGGGTGTTTCCCTTCATTAAGTACAGCTGGGTTATAGGATGAAATGCAAGAGGTGCAAATCCAGCAGAAATTGACCCTGTTTGGGCACATTGATAGCAGAGATTATCATTAATGGAAGATTAAATAGATTACATAAAAAAGGATTTGAATTTGTAGGGCATGTGGCATAATTTATTTATTTAAAGCCAGCTGTATTTCCCTGATACATATAAGCCTGTCTGAGGATACATGTGAAATTCTCTGAGGCTGCAGTATCTATCAGAGGGGAGAGGGACAAGTAATGTATTCATCCTGCCAGGAAGTGCTGCCATGGTGTGACCCTACAACAAGTACCTGCGTCTGCCACTGAGTTCGCATTGCCCTGACTAACAGCTCTTAGCAAGGAAGGGTATTCTTTTAAACAAGTGCATCCTCGTTTTGTAAATTCAGCTGCATGGTCCTTATGTGGCCGTTGCTCTGGTGGCTGTTGAAATGGAAGTCGTGGATCTGTTGTGTCGTGTGAATACAAATCTGACATGACAAATCTGATGCCCCAGCTTTCAAAGCAGTGCACAGCCCTGTGTGATCCGCCGGCTTGGCAAGGCACAGATGGAGGCAGGGGTTATGGGTTATTTAGCCTTTCGTGGCTTCTAAGAAAAGAAGCAGCTGTCATTATTCTTGTGGCAGTTCATTTAATTGCTTCAACGTGTTAAAATGGGCTCAAAATGTGACTTGAGGAAATGGAGAACAAATTGGGAGCTATTTCTTCAGAAAGCCGGATGATTGCCCACCTGAAGTCGATGCCGGTAAAGCCTTTTCTCTGTGTGTGTATTCAGCTGAGGAGATGTTGTGAAATCTCTCACTTTTTTGTGGGTGTGCATAATGACAATAATTCTTGGTTGTGTTTCACTCAAAGTCAAGCTATCTGTGAGCTGCTTTGCAAGTTCTCGTTGAAGATCCTTCAGGTTCTGACTAAGCAAAAGCCATTGACTCATCGGCTTTCTCTCTGTACTGTGTGCCTGCGTGTGTTTCTCATGTTCATGTACAGACTGTGGCTTTTTAGCCTCGTTTCCCAGCATTCAACATGAAAATCAATCATTGATTTAGGATAGCCTAACCCACAGATGAGCAGAATCGGCCAAGTGACTGGAACGCGCCGGTGAGGTTTTATTATTATCAAACCATTGGTTTCATTTCTATGGTGTCGTGCCCTGATTTTTTCCACTGTGCATTTTTTTCATGGTATTCTGAGTTTTTCAGTAATGTTATTATCTTTAAATTGAGATGTTGTACTTATAGGTGTGTTCAGCTGTGAAATACCCTGTGGTTTCTGTGGTGTTCCTATGACAAAAGGCTAATGCAGAGAGCTGAGGTCAGGCAGGTGGGGCTCAAGTAATGCGTTGTAACCAGGGAAAGAGATGTTACAGAAATCTTAATCAATAGATCTTGTGAAGTCCATTTGCGACCTTCTTTTGTGTCCAGACTGCAGCCTGAACACACTTTGATTTCCTGCTAAAGATTTTCTAGTCCAGTCGTTTGTCCTAGTCATATCTCTGTCTGTTTGCTATGCACGGCATGGGTTCAAGTAACAAGCATCTGGCAGCTGAACTGCTACCAGCACTGACATTTTGGTGAAAGCTGTTTGTTTTATTTTGCACTGACTCAAATATCTTTTTCACATTAAAGATGACACTTACATGGAACTGCGGGGTTTTCACCAACTGGAGGGTGTAGTGGGAGGTGCCAAACTGTAGTAAAACCAGACCTACTCTTTCCAGAGCTCTGAAGCATCCTGCCAACGAATGACAAGTATCTGTGAGCGCTTTGCGTTCTGATCGTGAGCTGTCATTGGGATCAAGGAGTGCACATGTGATGCTACAACACGTGCCTGTAGCACTGAGTGAGATTAATATGGCATAGATTAATAATCTATGAAGCATCAAAGGCCGTGGAACAAAGAAAAATGTATCGAACTGGGAACTCTGAAAGCATTTCCTTCTTGTCTTCATTCTACTTGCTTTTAGTTCCCATACCATGAGTCAGTGTACCACAGACGTGATTAGATTTGTGTTTTCCGCCTTATATACTTGTCAGCACCAAAGCTAATGCCAAGATACAAAATAATAGAGAATATACCCTAAAGCATAAGTATTTGTAATTTTATTTTTCATTTATTATGGTTATAACTTCTTTCCTCTGTTCAATTAGGTGGAATGACGTTGGGCTTAATTTCACTTTTACATTTATAATCCTCATTATAGGTGGGAACTAGCACACTTTTCATCAAGTTCATAAGGAATTTGAATGCTTATATGAAGGCTACGCTCACAGATATGTAACACACGATGATTCAGTTCAGATATATTTCCCTTTAGTTGAAGTATTTGTTGGAATAGCATGACCTGGGAGAACTTTCACAGCACTGGTATGATAAGAGGAAGGGATATGGCTGAAATGACTCCATGGTGCCTTTTAATCCCTACGAAAAATCTTTTGGGGGCTGTACAGATTCTCATTATGTTGATTTAAGCTGTGATCACTGGCAGAGGCAAAGCCTTGCATTTTATTGGGCATATTTTTTTAGCAACTATACAAGGACATTATGTGATATATTATATGTTGACAACAGAATACCATTATTAAATTAAAGTATTGATTCATTACAAAGTATTATGCTAAAGTAATGTCAGTGGTTTGTCTAAACCCACAGAAAATGGAAATTAAAAATTAAAGCGAAAGACCTGTCTCTGTCTACAGCACTATGTCTAGTGTTGCAGTGCATTTATCATCTGACTCATTGCTTTGAAGCCTTCTGCAAAGCCCAGTAAATGCAAGGATTGCTGTGGATTTGGCTTTGACTTTATCGGTAAATTCTACAGCTCATGTGGCTTTCAGGAAGTATCTACAGCATCCTGTTGTTTAACTTTGCTGATTTCTCCCATGATTTGTTTGCGAGTGCAAGAAAACATGCCTAGTGCAGTCATGTGGGGTGACCTGGTCACAAAGAGAAATAAATGCATAAAAACTTGTGTCTTTTGCATGTCTCTGAGCTTGCTGAGTTCTTTTTGAAATTTATTGTTATGGGTTGAACAAATCTGCATCTTCACTGCAGGCATGGGGAGAAAATACAAACAAGCATTTGGATGTTTACACCATCCCTGTTTTCAAGGAGGTTCTG